GTTTTACTAGGCTTGAACTTAATTAACAAATGAACCTATTTATCAGACTGGAGCTCGGATCAAATTTCAATTTAAACCGAGCCGAATTAAATTTTCACGAACCGAGGTGGAATAACTCGTCGAAAGCTCCATTCGTTCCCAGTTACCACCCGCCACACTCTTTGCAACCGTGCATGGGAACATCTCCCTTGTACTCCACGACTAAGATATTCCTAATGTACAGCTGAAAATGACTTTTCACCGTTTTACGACCGGTTGTTGGGACCACCGTTGGACTAGATCCGGTCTCTACTTATTCATCGTTTACTGGCATTAAATGCCCAAAAAAGCTAAAAATGGGATAGATAGAGCAATAAAATGATAAATGATAGTTTACAACAAACGATGCTTGAGACATTCCTTTTTCTGCTCTCCCCACGGCCCACGCAACGCCGCAAGTCGCGACGGATATCTCCCTCTACATCTACTCTCTCCGATCTGCCTCTGCTGACTCGCTAACACGTACTACTGAGGCTGGCATTTATGGTTTTTCTGTAGGTCTCACCATTAAATAATAAATTAGGGGGTGTCGTCAATCAAAACTCAAACACACAAAATAATTAGTTAATGAGCTAGTAAAGTTTCCTAATGAGATTTTAAACTGCATAATAATAAACAAACATTGTAATCCAGCTTATCGTTCCAAAAGCAACAAACGTAGATCTATCTGATCTACTCCAAAGTTTAAAGTCCCCATCCTCCAATCAAACCACGTGTCCCCCTATATTCTCTATCTAACAGCCAATGTATGAAGTATGAACCATTTTGAGTTTTATTGTATGCATTGCATGCATGCACGACGCCCCACGAGGCCACAATTAGTTTAATTTAGCTGGCGTTCCCTAGTCTATAAATATTATTGATGGGATCGTTTTGGTCAAAGTTATGTATCGATGGGGGCCGTTTACAAAATAGTATAGGTAAGGATAGGTCATATATCAATTTATCGTTCACAATATTTTCTCGTGGATGGTCCATACTGTAGTTTAGATAGTTTGTGGAAAGATTTCAGTGTAATGCACCTGTGTTATATTAGTTAAATTATTTTCATTTTATTTAATCTTTTAATAATTTTTAAAATTTTATCAATAAAATAATAAATTTTAATGTTAATTCTAGCCCAAGTCCGACGGTTCTCCTTCTCAATTCTTTTTTATTATTTAAATATTATTTTTTATTTTTTAATATTTGAAATAATGTTTTTTAATTATTTAAAAAATGCAATTGTTGTCTACATATTGATGCATTTTTTTTCAATTTATTTATCATATAAAATGCAACAATTAGACATTTATGATCAACTATATAGATCTCTCATAAAATGTATATGAAATACATAAAATCAAAAAGTGTACAGAACGCCGTCGTGGATGTGGTCCACACAATCTATCCACAATAACAATTGTGGACTGTGGTGTAGTGTGGATATGTCCCTGCCATAGGGTGTGGTGTGGACCATACCAATAGCCCATTTCTTTTTTAATCATAAACATAAAATGATAGAAATTTGGCTTCCGTTGCCCCCTGTTTGAGCAGCCTTTACAACCTTACATTGGGGATATTTTTCTATTCATATGCTTTATTTCGTAGAAAGATATTAGTGATGCAAGGTTGCAAGAGGCTATTGTAAACACGGGCTTGTCCTAACCGAAGCCGATCTTTAAACATAAACATAAACGTGAGTTGATGAACGTATCCAACCTAAAAACGCTCTTAACAGCATAAGCTATTGCCCCTAACAGCCAAAGTTTATTAGTTTAGACTACACACAGCAACGAACGGTAGTTATTCTGTGCAACTATGCATCCGTATTCACATGCACCCGCATGGTTGCGTGTACTATAAAGCAGGTAAAACCCGAGTAACCCATCGACCGATTGAACCGGAATTGAGCGGTTTACGGTTCAGAGTCCAGGTTATTTTATTCTTATGAAGTAGATTAACCATTTGTGCCGATTTCGGCATCATGATAGGAGATGCATGGTTCTAAATTCTAATAATTTCACATGACATGGTCATGTAATTCATTATCTCCTGCATCATGCCACGGTGTCATGTCTCATCATGTGATAATTCAACTTAAACATTGGGCGAAGCGCATCTGAGCTAAGCAGTAGCTACCTACGGAAAAGAATCTACTAGCAATCAGACGCTCCCAATACGAGTCCGGATCTTATCCTGCCGTCTTACCGGCGCTTCATACGCACATTCATTCATTGTGAATATCTTCCGTACGTATTTATTAGTGAATATTTACGGGAAATATTTCCAATGCACGATGAATGTAGTTGGAAGGCGCCCATTTGTGTGGAGTAGATCCCGTCATTCCCAATACTCCCAACAGCCCACTTCAAGTCATACATTAGGAAATAGGAACATCTCCCCGTGATTGACAAGGGAGATGTTCCCGATGTCTGGCTGTTATCGTTAGTTGGAGAGCTTGTTTGTAGCAGATCTGAACTTAGTAGCTATCAATTTTTTTTAAGGCAAACAGTAGCTACCAATCAGTTATGAGTTTTTGCATAAAAAATCAATTATAAGTTTTATTGGGCTCTCATTGAGTTGGGGGGTTCTTATTCACGTAAGAGTCCAGATCTTGCTATCTACGAGACATTACATACATCCAGAATATCTTACATGAGCAACAACATGTGGGAGATGTTCATGATATACGGCAGTATGGTCTTGTAACCGTTGTAGGGTATCATATCTGAGCTCTTATCTTACTAACTTGTATAATTGTATTTTAAGAGTTTGTCTTGAAAATAAAATTCACGAAAATTTAGAGGCCGTTTTATAAGTCTTTTTTGAAAGATATCTTAAAAGTTCTGACGGACAAAAGATGATGTGAGTTTTTGCATCAAAACCTTAATAGTTTGAAGATCGTTTGGTTAAGATGCATATATCTGCACGTTTTTCTGCATAAAAGATGAATTGAAAAAAATGCAAAAATATCCATTTGGAGTTTTTCGAAAATAACCCAAAATAGGCTTTCCACATCTTTTTGGGGCTGCGGCTTTCAATGGCTAGATTTTTCCCAACCAAACGGGAAAAGACCTAAATGCGGGCTTCCGAGCTTCTAAAAAGTCAACAGCCCACGTAAAAAGATGTGTCAAACGGGGCCTTAGATTACAAGGCAATCAGAGAAGAACTAGAACGTTACAATTCAATGAAAAAAAAATATAAACTCCTTTGATATTACAAGGCAACCATACAATGATAGATATATCAAGATTTTAAAATTTTAAGGGTTTATTTTGTTCGCAGTCAGAATTAGAATCAAAATCAAGATCCTCTAGATTTGGAATTGAAATTAGAATGGTCTATTCTTATAGTCTGTTTGATTTTGATTCAGACAGGAATGAGAATGATAATTGAAATAAGTAGAAATGTGATTTCGTTCTTAAGGGAGAGGCAGGGAATGACCATTCCCTTAAATCGTAGAATGTCATTTCAGTAGGAATAAGAATATGATTCTAATTCCATCCAACCAAACAATTAGAATTGGAATAACTCATTCCGATACCCATATTCCCACGAACCAAACGGGGCCTAAAATTATATTACCCTTGCCCATTAAACAATAAACACCGCCTCATAGCAGGCTTTGCTTGTGTCAAAGAAAAGCAGATTTCAATAAAAGAGCAACAGCCATATTATTTAGGGTACTCCATCTACCTCTTTATTAAAAAACAAAAAATGATCCCTTTCTATAATTATGAAAATAAAATTCAATGCATAGTAGTAATTTAATATTTGAAATAATTATTGCATAAAAACAAATGAATGTAATTTTGTTAATAAAAAATGGTTAAAAAACATCTGTCAGCTGAAAATTCAATTATTTTGGAATATTACAGAGATTGAGATACACGTTTACTCAATAAATTATCGGAAATAAAACATTTTAGAAGAATTATGTGGATGATTCAAACTACCCAAAATCCAATTCTACCATTTTCACAAATGAATGTTTTGATAAATACAGTTCCAAATATATATATTTGAAAAAGTATATCTCCAAATATGACGCCTTGCGCATGACTTGTATGGTACTTATCTGTGAACTGAAATGGCACTTATCTGTCCTGTCTAGCTTTTAGGCTAAAACATCCCGTTAAATTAGGAATTTTAATAAAGGAAAATTACTAATTGATACCAACAGTTCTAAATTTTCCACCTTAAAATTAGGCAATATTGGAAATCTTCCATTCATGGAACTTGTTATCGTTGGGCCCCCTTCCCCTTCCTCACTCCTCTCCTCTGCCCTATCAAAGCCCAAGTAGATTTTTTTTCTTCCTTTTTTATATTTTAGAATTAATAATTTTTTGTTTTTTCATCTTTATTTAACGCTTCTAGAAAATTAAAATTGTCTCGATCATAATGATGGCGAGAATATATGGAAGCAAACCTTTTCTTTTTCCTTTTTTGCATTTTTAGCTAATGTAGTATTGAAGTGTATATGAAAATAAGACAATGGGGGGTTTTTAATTTTTAAGAAAAATTAGTGGAACGAGATTTATACATCATCCTATAAAAAATTACACATGTAATTAAAATCATTATTTTTTAATAATTTCCCTATTTAATATTCTAAAAAAAAAAAATTACACATGTACAAGCTGTTTTTGTCGCGTAGTGGTGGAGGATCCAATCACGGTCACGGGGAGGGCAGTTCCTCACGGAATCTTTTTCCTTTTAACGAACATTTTCGACGTTTTTTGGTTAAGAAGGAACGAAATTCGCGGATTATTAGACTTTAAATGCCTTTGTAATAATGTATTTGTTATTTTTATTATTACGCTGTTGTCATTTCTTTAAATTAAATACTATTTCCCGCTTTTTTTCATAAAAATTTGTACAGACACGTCTAGACAAAGACAGACAGTCTCTCACACACACACACACTCTCTTGTAATATTTCGGTCCATATAAAAAAGGGAACAGAGCAGCTTATTAACCTAAGCGCAGGCACGTTCCTCGTCCGGAGCTTATGGTTGTGGTTTGCAAGTGGTAAGGCAATCTGCTCCTCCATCTAACCGCCCTTTGACAGGTAGATACGCTCAAGAAAAGGAACAAAACAAAGCGAATTAGGGTTTCTAAACATCTTCCAACTGTTGAATCTCCAACAGTTAGTGAATCACTTGGCTTTTCTTTTTTCTTTTTCCCCATTCGATTTTACAGACTTCCGTTTTCTCTCTCCTTATTTACTGGTCTTGCAAAGATTCCAGTGATTTAAGGTATTTTCTGGTTAGGGAATCTATGATTTTACAGATCTAATAAGCAATTACCAGTGGAATTCTCAACTACTTATATTACTGGTTCGAGGCGATTTAATCGGATAGAATGACGGAAAACTCCAAATAGTGGACTGGGAGTAGAGTTTCCCTTGTTATAATAGAAAATACACGATTTCACCAATCTTTGGCTCCATCAAGTAGAAGAGAAGAAGAAGGAGGTTTTGTCGACTACGAAAGGTAGACGTCGGAAGATTCTCGAAAAGTACAATATCTTTTTTAACTGGTTCGACTGGAAAAAATTAGTGACATCGAGACTGATCGTAAGTGGATGATTGCTGGACTGTAGCCTCGGTTATCTGAGATCCGTAATCGTTTCCATTTCAGAAGCTTGAGCTTCTACCGAATTTTCTCGTTTTTCCTTTATTTTTTTTCCTTTTTCAATCTCGGAAGCAGTACATGCCTTACGATTTCGCTTTCATTCTAGAAAAGGAAACCAGAGGCCCAAAGTTATTGATGCAGTTGTCAGCTCATATTCTTAGGGATTAGCATCGGTTTCGACTAAAATCCTTTGAACTTTTCTCAGTTACATAATATAGAGTTGCCTCAGTGAGCCTTTCGATTGATAAATTATTCAGCATAAAATCTCTAGTCGGTGTTCTAGCAGTAAACTCTATTTACTAGACGTCTCTCTAGTTTCCAGGCTAGGAATTGATAGATTCACGAGGTGACTCTGAACCCGGGCCATCTCTTGACGTCCTTAAGCAAGTATTATTGATTCTGGTGATTATTGGCGGTTTCGAGCATTGCAGATGAACTTCAACTGCAATCCTGAACTAAAGCGAGGATCTGCAGAGTGAGGGGTCGTTGGAAAAGCATACGTCTGTTGTTTTCGGTTTTTCATGAACTTCTGATTCAGTATAGTTTTGTCTGGATATGAAGATCCCCTCAAACAGTGAGCTTGCCGTATCGATTTGTGTGTGCAGCGACGTAAAGATTTCATCGCATCTACTCTATACTTCTGATCTTGTTCGGATTCTTTAGCTTTTCAATGACATTTGCTGGGTTTCTTGTTCGAATTCACTGTCCCTGAACCTGAAGCTCTAAAAGGACTTCACTTACCTCTCAAAGAGGACTTAGGTACGTGTTATTGGTGTAGATAGTGTTTTGAGGTAACTTGCAAAATGCAAACCCTAGATGTGCTCTGAGCTATGTTGTATTTGTTGGTATCGATGTCTGCTTCGTTCTCTTTAGATATTCTCACCAGATTACTTTCATTGATATTCTGGAATTAATCCATAGTCAATTTTTTTTTTGTCAACATGTTGGCCGTTTGTTCAACTGCGTGGACAGGGGGAGGAGGTCCCCTAATTTTTCATTCAGTGCTGGAACTGGAAGCTTACAGATTCTTTATTACTTGTTGGTCGGCTTATATTTCCTCTCTATTGTCTTTCATTTGTTCTATTTTCTTGCAGGTTAAGTCGGTTGGTGAATAGTAGCGCTCAATTACAGGAAAGATGAAAGGGGCCGTCTTTGTTGCTATAGCTGCTGCTGTTGGTAATCTGTTGCAGGGATGGGATAATGCAACAATTGCAGGTAAACTTTTTCATTACTCAATTGCTCTTTTGTTTGGAAAGTGGTGCTTCAAATCCAAAGTTTATGGATGCAGATTCAGAAATTGTGAGGTTTTGACTTATATCTTACCAATTTACATCTCATTATATTCTACATCTTTGAGGTTTTTTGTGCTTTTGGTTTTTTCCCCTTTTCTGTTTCTTCTTAGTTGTCAGGGCTTATCTTCAATTCTTCATACTGTACCATTAAATGCTAGATATTAAACCTCATTCTTGAAAGAAATTCTGCAGGAGCTGTTCTTTACATAAAGAAGGAATTTCAGTTGGAAAGTGAACCAACTATAGAAGGACTAATTGTAGCCATGTCTCTTATTGGAGCTACGATTATTACAACATGCTCTGGACCAGTATCAGATTGGCTTGGTCGGCGTCCAATGTTGATAATATCATCAGTTCTCTATTTTGTCAGTGGCTTGATAATGTTTTGGTCTCCTAATGTTTATATTCTACTCTTGGCAAGGCTTCTAGATGGATTTGGAATTGGTCTTGCAGTCACTCTTGTTCCTGTTTATATATCTGAGACTGCTCCATCAGAAATAAGGGGACTATTGAATACCCTTCCACAGTTCACTGGTTCTGGTGGAATGTTTTTGTCATATTGTATGGTGTTTGGCATGTCACTTACGGATTCACCAAGCTGGAGGTTGATGCTCGGGGTTCTTTCTATTCCTTCTGTAGTATACTTTGCATTGACCATATTTTTCTTGCCTGAGTCTCCACGGTGGCTAGTGAGTAAGGGAAAGATGCTTGAGGCAAAACGGGTTTTGCAAAAATTACGCGGCAGGGAAGATGTCTCAGGTTTGCTTTTTCTTTTTCTGGGTGCTGCTTTCTGTTACGTAATTGATTATTTTGTGCAAGGCTCTAAATAATTCCTTTTCATGGTATCTTATATGATTATATGGATGCTTTAATTAAAATCTAGAATGTTTTGTATAAATAATATGGAATTAATATACATGTGGGGAATTTCCTATTCGTGTATATGATTGGATCTACATTGGTTACTGGCTTTTTTATTGGATCTACCATTCTAAGGGCCAGTGCTTGGTATGGTGGTAAAATCTCTGTCTGATACACTCAATGCTCAAAAAAAAAAAAAAAAAAAAAGAGTATCATGGTATGTTACACTTTGAACATATGCACCCATGTTAAATCTTAGTATTTGGTGTATCGAACCCCCTCTCCTGACTGATATGTATCACTACTTAAACACAACATGCGGGTTTGAGTCTGAGAGTGATGACTTGAGGTTAGGTCTGCATCCAGCTCACTCCTCTGAAGACCTTTTATAGGTGAGAGTCGTGAGACTACATTGGGTTTATTAAAATTGGGTTTTTCTGATTTTGGCCTCCAAGGCATATTTATTTTTTATTTGAACAAATGCAAGAAAAATGCTTTATTACTTATGAAAAAATTCATTAGTTTTTTTTTTTTTTAATTTTCCCTACTTATTTCTTTTCCCTGTTTAAACCTGATTACTTCATATTCCTTCCCCTTCCCTATCTAAGTCTCTTTAAAGTTTTCTATATTATTTGTATTTCTAAATATATTGAATTCTATCTGTCAAAACTGGAATAAAATTTTGAAAGTTCATGGAAACCTTGATGTTGGCTTATTTCAACACAGCTAAATTCAAAAGAATTGGTATATTCTTAGATTGTAAAGTAGATCTACAATAACTTTGCAGATGCTGCAATTAATGTGTTTAATTGTTATGTGCAAGAGATGTCATTCGCATCTTAGCAAGTGATCCATGTTGACCTTCGCCTTGATCATTTCTCTGATAGTTTGGACGAGTTCTCTTTTAAGCACTTAATTCTCTTTGTTGTTGCAGAAGATAAGTAGAATAAATCATAAGTAAGTGTTTTTGGGCTTGCTCATTTTGTAGCCATGTAAAATAATTATTTATGCAATTGGCCCTCTCTTATAACTTTAATTCTATGATGTTACAGGACTTGTAGGTCTTCCATGTAGTTAGATTTGTCAAGGCAACACAGCAAGACTGGCAATAGTGGGGTATCTTGCCTTCTAGCCATTGGCTTTTGACAAAGTGCACCTAGGCAATGCATAAATTCTACAATAGAGTATAATCGGCAAATTTCTGGGTTTCTAGTCAACAAGTTAAACAACCTTTTAAAAACAAGATTACAATTAGCATCACATATTTTAATTAATGATGAGTTGAAGTCAATAAGCATGAAATTGTTAACAAAACAAAGAAATAAAGGAGTGATTGTGGCAATTCCCGGGTTGAGAAACAGATTGATACAAAAATATACCAATTACAATGAGAAAAATAGATATTCTAATCACCTAGGGAGCAAAGAAATTTGGAGCAAAGCACCTTTTCCGGTTGCATGCAAGGCACAAAGATAAAAACAAACATAAAAGCACCTATTGGTTGCATTCTATCTTCTCTTATTTGAAATATCTTACTGTTGGGGAATTTTCTCTTTAAATTTCCTTCCAGGATGCTATCAAAGGAGATTTGTAGATGATGCACTGTTTGTCCTTATGGACTAGTATGCATATTAAATTATACCAATAAAAAAAGTATGTATATTAAATTGTCCATATATCATGATATCATAACTATGGTTTAAATGCATAAGATAACGTAGATAAGATTTACAAATAAGAAATATCCACCAGGAAATGTAATTGAGGGGATCCTCATTCTGAATTCTATGTTTATACCAATAATCACTAGAAAATCTCATGTTATAACCGAAACAATTTAAAAAATTGTGCTTTACATATATTGATCCTACCATCTGTGGTCAGCTAGTTGCCCTTTCTATTCTATTCCCTATTACTGGTGTATTAATCTATACCAGGACATGTTAGAGATGTTATGTATTTTCCTTGTTTTTGAATGAAAATATTTATTACTTCTACTGCAGCCATTGTTTTCTTATTGAGAACTTTACTAGCTATCCATCATGGGGATTCTTAAGCTCCTTTAGTCTGCAGGTGAGATGGCTTTGCTGGTTGAAGGTCTTGGAGTTGGAGGTGAAACATCTATAGAAGAATACATTATAGGCCCTGCCAATGAGCTCGCTGATGACCAAGAACCAACTGCTGAAAAGAACCAGATTAAGTTATATGGGCCTGAAGAGGGGCTTTCCTGGATTGCCAGACCTGTCACTGGGCAAAGCACTCTTGGTCCAGTTTCCCGACATGGAAGTATGGAGAGCCGTCAGAGTGTGCCCCTTATGGACCCTATGGTCACCCTCTTTGGCAGTGTCCATGAAAAGCTTCCTGAGATGGGAAGCATGCGAAGCATGCTCTTCCCCAACTTTGGCAGCATGTTCAGTGTGGCAGAGCAACAGGGTAAAAATGAGCAGTGGGATGAGGAGAGTCTCCGGAGGGACGGTGAGGATTACACATCTGATGCAGCAGGGGATGATTCTGATGACAATTTGCAGAGTCCACTTCTCTCACGTCAGACAACAACTATGGAAGGGAAGGACATGGTTCCACCTCCTGCTTCACATGGTAGCATTTTGAGCATGAGACGAAATAGCAGTCTTATGCAGGGAGGGGAGCCAGTCAGTAGCATGGGTATTGGTGGTGGTTGGCAGTTGGCATGGAAGTGGTCTGAGAGGGAAGGCGAAGATGGAAAGAAGGAAGGGGGATTTAAGAGGATCTACTTGCATCAGGAGGGTGTCCCTGGATCTCGGCATGGGTCTCTTGTTTCACTTCCTGGCATTGATGCCCCTGTAGAAGGTGAGTTCATCCAGGCTGCTGCTCTAGTGAGCCAACCTGCTCTCTACTCTAAGGAGCTTATGGAACAGCATCCAGTTGGACCAGCAATGGTTCACCCATCTGAAACTGCTGCTAAAGGGCCAAGGTGGGGAGATCTTTTTGAGCCTGGTGTCAAGCATGCATTGCTTGTTGGTGTTTTGATTCAAATACTTCAACAGGTAAGGAACAGTTTCTACTGAAGTGTCCAGAGTTCCACTATTCTATTCATTCCCCCAGATGTTCAGGTTCACCTAGGATTAAAGGTTCTAGGTATGAAAATGCTATTTTTATCCAGCTGGGGCATTGTCTTCAGTATTTTTCATCATCATTGGCATATTTTAGTTTTTCTTCTGTTCTTATTTTGTTGCCTTTAATTGGAGTTGCTCTTTATTTTTATGGAGTACATGACAGATTTAAAGCCCAGGAATAAGCCTTATGCAAAGTTTTCCCATAATTTTAATGTTCTACATTAATGCAAAGTTTTCACACACACACATGGTTTTACATGGAAGGTCCATCCACTTATAAATGATCTTGTTTTTAATGAAATAGCATAAGAATTGGTTGTGGTTAGGAAGTTTCTTATGGTGTTATCAAATGGTTTTGTCTGTTATCTTTTCTATTTTGCTTGGTTCAAACTCTATCCAGACTGAAGGAGAAGCTGTGTAAATTTCATTCTGAAACTATCAGACCTAGGGGTGTTCATTAGGTTGGTTTGGTTCGGAAATAGAACCCAACCAACATTTTGGTTAGGCCACTTTCATGAACCGAACTGAAGTAGACTTGAAACCGAACCAAACCAAACTGAAGTTAAATTGGTCCGGTTTGGTTAGTTAAAATATAAATGTATTTTATATTTATATTAGTAATTATTATTAAAATATATCAATATTTATAATTAAAATACGTATATGTTAATATTAATATTAATATTTATAATTAAAATATAAATATATGTATTTATTTTGGTTAATTTGTTTTTTGGTTCAGTTTGGTTGAATTTTTTCTCAAACCAAACTGAAAACCGAAGTAACCAAACCGAATTGGCTTATTCAGTTTGGTTCAGTTCGGTTTTAGTTTTATAACCAAATAACACCCCTAATCAGACCTAGAGTTATAAATGAAATTCAGTTACTTTCGCTTTTGCTTTGTTTTGTTGTAGTGAGGTTGCACAAAGTGATTGTTTTATGTGTTTATTTCTCTTTTTCTTTTTTTTCTTATATTCTTATTATCTCTATGTTTATCATACGTGCAGTTTGCTGGCATAAATGGAGTTTTATACTACACACCTCAGATTCTTGAACAGGCAGGAGTTGAAGTGCTCCTTGCAAACATGGGTATTGGTTCTGACTCTGCCTCTATCCTTATTAGTGCAGTAACTACTCTCTTGATGCTTCCTTGCATTGCTGTCGCAATGAGGCTCATGGATATTTCTGGTAGAAGGTAATTTATACTTTACTTTTCTGTTTTCCTTTCCTTTTTTTTTTAAATTTTTCCTTGGTTTAACCAGAACTCCTTTTTGAAATGCCCAATATGTCATTTATTTTTTGGGTTTCTCTTAGTGTCTTCTGGTTGATCTTTTGTTTTTGATATTCCAAGAGTATATATGCCTGTTTAAAATCCTTGCCTTTTCACATAAAAGCCTGTTAAGATATAGAAGTTATAGTTCATACTTGTTGGTTGTGGAAAAGCTTATATGGATACAAGTACTTGCTGGATTCAAATGATGCTTTATATAAATGTTAAAAACATGATCAAGCAATCTGCTGGATCATATTGATTACTCATACCCTTTCTTGCAGGCGTCTGCTACTCACCACAATCCCTATCCTGATAGTCTCCCTTGTGGTTCTAGTCGTTAGCAATATTGTGACCATGAACAGTGTCGTTCATGCCATACTCTCAACCATAAGTGTGGTGGTCTACTTCTGTTGCTTCGTCACAGGTTTTGGGCCAATTCCCAATATACTCTGCTCAGAGATATTCCCCACACGGGTCCGTGGGGTCTGCATAGCCATCTGTGCCCTTGTATTTTGGATTGGTGATATCATTGTCACATATACACTCCCTGTGATGCTTACCTCCATAGGCCTTGCTGGTGTTTTTGGAATCTATGCTGTTGTATGTTGCATCTCATGGGTGTTTGTCTTCTTGAAGGTTCCTGAAACCAAGGGCATGCCCCTTGAAGTTATTACAGAGTTCTTTGCAGTTGGTGCAAGACAGGCTGCTGCCAAGAATGACTGACGTGCTCATGAAGAGATTTGGAAATTTCCATTCGTCAGTTCAAAGGCATTATGAGCTACTAGATACATCATTTCAGTTTCAGCTATAATGCCAATGGTGTCTGGAGTTGAAGAAGTATGGGAGATGATTTTAGTTGTTTTAATCTGAAAAAAGAGAGGTGAGCATCAAAAGCTGGAAATTATGAGATAAGCGGTTGGTGTATTAGAGTTGGGTTTTCTTTTTTACCTCATTGAGGTGTTTAAAAGTAGAAAACTTTGATTTCTTCAATTCAAATTTCCTCCTTTTGTCTAAATCGTCATTTAAAATTTTTATCAAATGAGCTGCTAAATTATTTGCGTTTCTATGTATATGAGGAATGCTATTACTGTCGTTAATAGATGTAGTCATGTAGACATGTATTCTCAGTTTCTCACCATCATATGAGGAATGCTAAATTATTGGATCGCGTGTGACTTCACCAGGACGGTGGAAGTAGAAGCTTTGATTGTTGAATTTAATCTCATATAATAGGTAAGAGTGATGTAATCGTGTAAGTCTTGATGGTTGACAGAAGGCCTTTTTGCTATACTGTTTTCTGGATGTCGTGTATCCTGCCTGACCTCTGGTTCTGCATGGTTTTCACTGGTTCTGGTGCCCTCAACACCTTATTTATTTGTTACTTGTTAGAGACTTGGGGAGCAATAATCTTAGCGTGGAATAAAGATTTTAGCTAATTTGCTTATAAAAGGATTCAGTTTTGACAGCCCAACAAGAAAAAATGTGTACATCGTGAAGAAGGTACCCAATTATTGAAGATATTCAGAGCCTAGAGTCGAGACGGCAACTTCCAGTTTGAAGTTATGCACAAGCACAAGTATTGAAAAGGAAATCAAGCATTGTAAAGCATATGATTTATTTATGTAAATAATAAATATGATGGTATTTGTTGTAAATTAAAACAGTAATTTAATAATTTATAAAAATATATTATCTTTGTCATCAGATCTATTATAATTTTTAAGATACATATCATTAACAAAGTCATAGATTTGAAATCTAAAAGGTCTATAATTAATGGGGTATAAAAATTGATTAATTGCACAATCAGCACAAGTAATGAAAAGTGGGATTTGGTGGGCTCAATGGCACAATTGAGTATGGCTTTATGAGATATCAGTCAATAATATCAGTTGATACCAACTGATACATGCATATGGGCACGGGAGGAATGATGTCAAAGTAGACCATTCAATCTATCCCATACCCACACCTAGGTCGCCTTAGATATAAGGTATAGTTAAAAGCAATGTTTTAAAAACTGATCCGGAGGCGGAATCATTTTTGCCTCCGGGTTGCAGGTCACAGGTTTGATTGAATGCTCTAGATCGTTTCATGTCATCATCATCATCATATATATATATATATATATATATATATATATATATATATATATATATATTATTAATAAATAATGTATAAATATTTTAGATATGTTATATGTATTTTTTATATTTAATTTATATTTTTAATTTTTTTATTTATAAAAAATATTAAAAATTGTAATTTGAGACAAAAAAAGTTTTTTTTCCTGAAAATAGCGGGGCAAGGCGCCTACAGCTCCTTGGGATGCATAGATCTTGAAAAATTATCCAAAATAAAAATAAAAATACACCAATCAGACATTGGAGTGCAAAGTTATGGCCTTTGAAATTTTGCATACATTGAGTGCAAATGGGTCAATGGTTGAACCAGCCCAATCGAATGGCTCTTAAACCAAAACACTGGTTAAAAGGAGTCGGATCTGCTCACATTGACCTTACAGTATGTACTAGCCACACGTTGGAAACATCTCCCGTAGGGGTGCAAATGGATCTAATCCTATTTGGTCGAATTCGGATCACCCTCCTATACAATCCGATGTATATTATATATTTATAAATATAAATATATAATACACATATATGTTATTTATTTATTTATAAATATATTATTAATATTATATTTTTATAAATTTGTTATATTATTTATTTTTTATAAGAAACATGTATATATATGATGAAATAATTAAAAAATACTTACTTTATTTAAATAAGTATATTTTAATTTTCTTTTAATAATTTAATACTTTTTAAAGAAAACAAGTAGGATCGGATCAGATCCGAAGATCCGACTTACCGATAGGATTTGAAGTGGGATTCAAGGAGTAAATATAATAAATAAAAACCCATTGAAGGCAATGTCTATTAACAAAAACAATCAAATTTCTAAGCTTTCTAACACCACAAACCCAAGAACTATAAGCTTTCTAAAGTTCAAAATGGTATAGAAAAAAGAATCATCCAAACCAAGGTTTTTAACCGTTCTGGGTTCGGTTCCCAGGTTGAACGTTCCAACTGTCTGGCCCGAATGGATTGTTCGCTCAGACAAAAAAAAAATAAAAAAATAAATAAAAATGGCAAAAATTATTGTTCAGGTCAATGGTTCAACAGTTCAATCGTTCAGATGAATGGTTCATTGACAAAATTAACGGTTTTTTGCCAAAAAACGGTTTTGGGGTGAAATGGAATCGGTCACCTGAGCGGTTCTTGGTTTTTCCAGTCCAACCATCCAGTCTGTTCCAGTTTTGAAAATACTGATCCAAACACTTTTTTTTTTTAGCTTATTGGCTTCAGCTCTGACTCCTATAAAGAGTGAAAGGAACAAATCTATTTGATTCCCTACATTCAGGGTTGGAGCTAGGACTTTCTCTTGAAGGGGGCAAAAATTAGTAAACATGGATAAAGGGGCCAAAATATAGGTGAAAGTTATATGAATATGGTATTGTGGGGATTTTGAAGGCATGGAGTGAGCACCCCCTAGCTCAGCCCCTGCCAACATTAGACTGTTTGGTGTTTTCCATTTATACCTCTTCTGAAAGAACGTTGGTTTTTTGAAAATATATTACCTGCACTCGTCTGTCTCTTTGACTTTCCTTTGAAAATAAGTGCTACCAATAAGCCAAATTGCAAAGCTTTTGGAGGTACTAAATCCTTTTCTTCTTTCTTTAAATGTCTTCTGGTTTGGGGATCTTTTTTCAACAGTAGAAACAAGTAATTTCTTTGAATAAGCTGCTTGTTGGGTGATACATATGCTCACAGCTTATCTTTCTTAAGCATGTAACAAGCAAATTTCAGTCTAAATAAGCTGCTTATTGGGTGTGGGTCCAGCCCATATGAAGGGCCCACCCCACCTTTTCTTACTCCCAAAAAGGCTCCCACCTTTTTTTTTTTTTGATTTGGTGTGCTTCCATTTCTTAATCACTTAATTGAAAAAAAAAAGAAGAAAAATAGAGGGAATCCAGGGTTTTTCTGAGTTTTGAGTTTTGTAAAGAAGAGAAAAAAGAGTTGGTTTTTATTCCATTCAAGATTAAGTTCGGATGTGTTTTCAATCCCATTCTTAATGTTATTAAATTCTGTTCAAGGAGACAAGAATCTCACTCTAGTTCAGATAGGTTGTCAGTTTGTCACTTCCTTTCTTTTTAGTTTCATATTTACAATATCTTGGTGAGATCCAAACCGTTGTTTTTGTTGAATCTACCTTACACTTGGTGATGTTAATGTTGTACTTATGAGCCATGGATAATTTCCTTGATGTTTATAAACCTCTAGTTGCAACTAGGGGAATTGTTGTACCTATTAATTTCTGAATTAGTGAAAGACTTTTGTGAATCATAGGTCCCGTGGTTTTCTTCCAATTTTGAGGTTTTTCATGTAAAATTTTTAGCATGTTATTGTGTGATGATTGTTATTTGTATTTTATTATTTATTTATTATCATTATTATTGACAAACTCTTTAACACGCAAACTTGAGGAAAAATTTTTTATTGTCATAAAATTGCTTTTTAACACTCTTTTCAACCACTAGTGTATCTTTCCCAACACTGCTTTGGGTATTCAATCGGATTAGGAGGAAGAATGGAGAGGGTGAGATTGATATAGTTTATTGTTTAAAAAGAAAACTTCTTTGCATACGCTAACGGGATGATTCCTAGCATCACACGAGAGAAAGAAACCAACTCGAGTAGGTTACAGTTGGTGGAATTTGATCCATTGTTAGTTTACTTCCAAATACTTGAAGGGTACCAGCCTAGAAAATAAATGTGGATGGCAGGGCAGGTCATCACTCACGCGTCTAGGCGTGTCTGTGTGTCTGGTGTTATCATTCGGGATTCCGCTGCTGCTTTTTGGGTAGAAGCTTTATGGGGATGTAAACTGGATTAAATTTTAATCAAGTAATAACGGGACCGTGTCATGTTTGGGAAGTGAAAGTTAAATAATAGAATGAGTCATTTATTAAAATATTCCTTATAGTTTCATAAATTTATTAAAATCTATCCTATATTTAGTATTTTACTAAAAGACTATTTATAATTTGTAATGAATTTAATCAATCATCCATTAGATGATAGTGGAAAATGACATCGTTGACCCTAATGCTCATTTAAATAAATTTAATCAAAATAAAATAAAAATAAAAATATCATTTTTGTCCTTAATAAGACACGGGCAACTATTCTATTAGTTATATTTGGTCAATTTTGTTTTATGTACAAAAAAGTGTAAGGGTATTTTTGGAATAAAAAATCATCGGCCTAATGGCAAAATAAACATTCTTTTATGAAAGGTTGATTAAGTAAGTTGTAAAATATATGGGATGTTTTAGTAAAATGAAAACTATAAGGTGCATTCTAGTAAATGACCCTAATAGAAATACATAAGAGATACAATATTTTTATATTTTTAAATTTTCAAATAATTAATAATTATTCATATTTTATATACTACCTTTAATACATTTTTTATAATACAAAAATAACAATAATTAATTTCAGTTAGGTTTATTCATCAAATTGATGAAACTAACCAACCCGATCAACTCGACCTGAGTTGGTTGGTTTTCTAGTATTTTAGGTTGGCTTTGGTTCAAAAAATTTCCTAATTCGACCAAGTTAGACCAGTTTCACTTTAGCCATTTGTAAATCGACCAAAATCGAATGACTTAACCATGGATATATATATATATATTAATATTTTATATTTTAAATATAATTTTTAATATAGAAAAATAGGAAATTTCCCATATTTCTTAGTCTAAAATGTTTTATATCATAAATCTAATTTTTAAATTTATTTTTTAATAATTGCACTATAACTTTTAAAATTAAATTTAAATTTTGAGTTTAAATATTTTGAACCGACTGACCAAACCAAAAAATCGACCCAAATCGGTACACCTTGAGTGGGTCGATTTTCACAAAAAGGTCAGTCGGTTTCAACTTACCAACTCCCCAATCTGACTATGTCAATTTGGTTGGCCAAATAGCATACGATCGAACTAAACTAACTTATGAACACTCATAATTTCAGCTAAATTAATAGTCTCATCTCTAATAAATAATAATAGTTTAATCTCCAATAATTATT